GTGTTTGAATTGTATGGATTCGTCTTGTATTTTGATAACATAACCTGGACAAAAATAATAAGCATTCATTATTACATCAGGACTTCAATAATAATAATAGGAATAATAATAATAATGATAATAAAACCTCTTACATAACACATTAAATCAATATGCATAAATGAAATAAGAATTTTTTTTTCGTTTTATAGCAGCTATAACCAATATTGAATCCGATTTGACATTAGATGTTTGCATGATGAGCATGTGATGTTTCATGCATGTGAAGCACACAGTTTCAGGAGTATAACCCCAAAAACAAGACCTGAGAACTGATGAATTAGACGGATTGATCTTGAGTCTCTATCTTCTGCTGTCAACTTTGAGCTACTGATGCAAGAGGGACAGAAGATCATTCCCTTTTCCTTTCGTTTTCGTCTTACATCAGATTCAAAACATCTGTCCGATATGCGCATTATACATTATTGATCATATCGATCCATAAAGATTCCTTATAAAAGACTCACCAATGACAAGAATAGAACATTTCTACCAGTCTCCTACGTCTCCGTATCTGCTCCAAGAAGCCATGATGCCGCTGCCACGTCTGGTCACGCAAGCGCAATCCATATTCCTTCAAATCCCTGGAGAACGCAGGGCTTCTTAGGAAATGTAGTTTCTTCGGACATGTAGTTTAAGGGCTTAAACGAGGGCATACTACAGACACATACTTGTGAATGTGTATCATTTCAGCTCATGTAAATTATTTCTAATCCAAAACTGTTCTATTCAAATGACTTACTGTTTCCTGAACAAAAGCTTCGAAACTGAAAATAATTCTGTCTGTTTTGAATGTGTTTGAATATGTTTGACTTAAATTGTGATGTCAGTTATATTACCATAGCCTATTTAGTGTGTCTAATGTGTTATAGTTCTTGGCAAAATAAAATGTTGTTACTTGTTACTTCTGTAATATTCTACCCCCAAAAACAACTTCTGATGTAGAAACAAATGCAATATTGTGAAATAAATGAAATGAAATGAATTCATTTGAATATTAAATGAATGAATGAACGGTTAGGTTTCAAGACTCCTTTTAGCTCAATCTATGCAATTCAATGAACCACAGTTACACTGAAAATCTTACAAAGTCAACATAATATGCTACTATAATAAGTTACCATTGGTGTTCCAGTGAATGGCTCAACCTATAGAATGAACGAGGGAAATTATCTTATTATTTCTTTATAATTGGTGTAATGGAGTTGAGTTGACACATCATGTGAGTGACAGAAAATATAACCATAATTATAGATAGCTAAAGATTGTATAATTATATAATTATAAAAACATATCCTACAGTAAACTTGTGTGACCTTGTTGAACTCATAGTGATCTATAAATATTGGGTGGTGGTGTAAAAACAAAGTATACCGTAATAACTGTACTTTATAAAACAAGTTTTTTTTTTTTTTTTTTTTTAACACAGCGGCTTCAAATTTCACATTTAATGCATGTGTAATTTGTTTTAGGACAAAGTGTAAAACCATGTTAACCCACTGACTTTTTTTTTTAAGTAGCCTAAATAAAAACAAGTATTCTATTAAAACAGCATCCTTCAAGTTTGGCCTACAAAATTAATTGAACAGCTCAATAATGATCAATAAACTATTATTTTGGAGAAGTAAGTTCCTTTGCCTGACTGTAGTCAATGGTTGCCTTAGCAATTTATCAGCAGCCTATTCTTATTAGCTGATAAATAACAGTCAGAAAAAAATCACATTTATATTTATATTTTAGAATTTAAATCATTTACTTTTCAAATTGTTCCTAGATAGTTCCTCAGTATTGCTATTTCATTTATATGGAAAAGGTATTTTCTTATATGCCTTCAAATACTTAAGGAAGGCATTAAATAATAGACCTACACTAACATTTATGTTATATATTTGCAATGATCATGCTGGTGTCAGACACACTGTAGTGCCACCACCTGGATGTGACAGTGGTACAACTATCTTGACTCTCGAGTCACCTCCCTCATCACATCCCCATCTGCTTAATGCTTATTGCAGCTTTCAGTGTTTGAGCGGATTTCCACAGCCCATATGTATTGTGACAGTTATCAAAAATGAAAGCAACTTTCGAGAGTAAAGCCAACAGATTTATATGGTGTTTTCTTTCTTTATATAACATGGTCGCCCACTATTTGTTGGGTATTATTTACAGTACACACTTATAGGCCTGTGTTTTTGAACATCCTTTGATACTTCCTTAAGATTTGCTTGTAATAGCCTACCAGTCAAACACTTTGGATATATGATTATGGCAATAATATGATTTAGCTACACATAAAAGTATCATATGACATGGCAGGCTACCATCAAGGTTTTTTGATTGCACCACAACAAAACCAAGACGTGTTGATATGACATATTGCTACTTTTGGCAACATTGTGCGATTCAAACAGTTAATTAATTGCCATGGTACCTCACCGATTCTAGGGACAGACTATCCAGGCTCGATATAGGGGTGTTGTTGAATCCCAAAATACGATGGATTTTTTTTTTAATCTGCTGGAACAGGAAGACAATGTTCCTGTTACAGAAATTTCTTTAGAAAGTAAAATGAGAGCTTCATCAGATATCGCAGCCACTGAGCCAAACCTTTGAGGTGGAGAATCATGGCAGAGTTTGCACCCCTATTCGTTTGAGTTGCAGCTGTCCCTCTGTAGTAGCCTTGTCTTTCCAGCACAGCGCAGTAAAGCAGCTGCTTCAGGTCGATCGGTGGAAGTCATTCACAGAAAAGGGATACTGCACAGGAGACCTACGCAAAGCGGAGATTGCGGTTTATGCGTTGCGTTTTACGCACGACAGAGTTTACTTCAGAAGAAGGACGTCAGAAGGTAAAAACACTCTCTTAGATAGTATTTACCTCACATTTACAAGTATTACGCTATAGAAACTGCGTCTAATGTTATTGGTGTAGGGTAATATTGTGAAGTAGACTTTTAGAAGTTCTGCGGTACTGACTATCAACATTTCAGCGACTCTCTCTGATTTTTTGTTTGTTTGTTTTTTTCTGAAGAACATAAACATATAAGCCTATTGTCTAATTACATCAATTTCTTTTCTTCCTTTCCAAATTAAAACGATTGTTCAATTTTAAATAACGTCAAGCTATTTTAAATCGCCAGTGGATTTGCATGAATCAGTCAATTTGGTTTTTTTTTTTTTTTTTTTTTTTTAGTAATTGGCTATTGCCTTTTTAATCATCGAAGACTCCTTATCTAGCCTAATAAAAACTGGATATTGGCAGATTTTCTCTCTTTATGGTGTTCACAAAACCCTCATTGGGAATGCCATGTCTTTTAAACAGTCCTTTCCTCTCATGTTAAAGAACATGCATGTTTTATATGAACAGGATTCAGTAAGAGTTGCCTATTCCTTTATCCTGACAAGGAATTTACTCGCTGCTCACGTTCTGTTCAAGATCCGAGGAATTTTGCTTTGGAGTCGAAACGTTCGCCTTCATAAGCTCCCAGTAAAACACGCAATATTTCATTCTCTTTTATCATCGTTTGGCTTTTGAGGGATTTTCCTTGGACATACGTTTACTTTTCACCGAGAATAATCTACTTTTGCACAGAATGTTCGGATAGCCTAAGTCTTTCAGGTAATTTGAGGACGGATTTAGCATCTCTCGACTGGGCTACAGATCCGTGTGTTTTCAAACGGAGCAACTTTATAAGCGTTAACAGAAAAGCTAATTTTTTATTTATTGTTTTAATACAGAAAACGGTATTTAGCTTTTTTCAGTCAGTAGCCTATTTGGGGAGTGAAGGATGCTGTCACTGTCAGAAAACCATTGGCATGTGAATGATGTGCAATGATGATGTTATTTAGAAATGTAGAGAAGACTCTTTTTGAATACAACATAGGTGCTATGCTATGTCACAGGCACATATAGGCTACAACAGCAACAGTTTATTTTCTATCTATAATTTAAGTTCGCTTTACCACACAAAAACAAAGGCGCCAAATGCCTTTGTTTTTGTAACGCGCTTATGAGAAAAAGTAGACTATCCTCCATGAGAACGAGTAGCCTAGGCTATACAATGGCCAGCAAAGAGAACAAGTAGCCTACCTAAACAAAACAAGGATATTTTAGGAAATGTAGGTTGGTGCTGAACTGATTATTGTTGGCGATATCTGCAGACACAACATTTCGTCAGCCTCGCGCAGTAATGAGTAATAAATCTGTGTCTCGTCTTTGTTACAATCACTTTCCTCAAAAAATGAAAACCCAGCAGTTTAAAAACTTGAAATGATTGAGTTTGGTGTAAATGATGTAATGTTCAACACTATGCTCTTTACGAACCGGAGAGCAGGTGTACAAAACAGAGACTGTATTGCTGGTCAAAAACGGTAGGGGGAAGTGTCGAGTCTTGCAGCCAAAGCAAGGAGAAGGAAAATCACCTGTTGGCCTGGTGCAATTTAAATCAGGGCTGCTAAATTCTGGAGATCTACTATCCTTCGCAGATTTAACGGCAATCAAACATAGTTGGCTACATCAAGCAACCAATCTGTCTTTTGGTTAATCTCAGGGTAACAAAAATAACTTTGTTGTAAATGCTGTTCTGTAATGAAAAGCATATGATTATGAAGCAACTCTGCTCCAATCCTTAGATTTTACATTGTTGGCTAAGTAGGGATAAATGATAGATGCATTTGATGTTCTTTTAAGCTAAAATCAAAGAGATTTTATAGATAAAGATATGCAAGCTCACATGGTCTCATAGGAAAACAAGGTTTGATATAGGCTAAGATCATCCTGCAGCATTAGTTTAGAAAATGCTTCAAAACCCTGTAACTGGGCTTGAATGGAATATTATAATTGATCCAATGGCCCATTGCATAAACTGCTATACTAAGACTTAAAAGTTAGTCACCATGCATGTTTCTATAGGCCTAGGGGAGCGCAGGGCACAACCTAGCGCGGGGTTAAATGTAACACGGACCTTTTACATTGGTCTAGTTATTTAGGATCAAGCAGGTTGTCTTTCCGCTCTTTTTCTCTTGCTGCCAGAAGACGGTCTCCCGCGAATTTGCGTAAAGTTTTGATAATATTTCGTGAAGATACTGGACAAAGAGTGTTTTGACACCATGCAAGTACATTTTTTCATCATAGGTTTTTTTTTCTTTTCGGTTTCTGAGTTGGGTGTACACGTTTCCAAACCTAACTTTATATTGCCTTAATCACTGTCTTGTTGGCTCAAACATAGCACCGTTTTGAAACATGTCAGCAATTCCTATCAACTGTTAGCTATGCTTAAAATATGTAATACACAGCGGGGTTAGTTGTAGCACAGTGTTATAATTAAGCCGCCAAGTGCACAATGACAATCAATTGAAAACGGGGAGTCACACAACTTTTCAGGTTTGAGTATTTATTTATACATTCAACTTTGTTGGACTTTCACAAACAATTTTGGAATTTAAAATGTTTAAAATTTAGTTTACTATGCATTGACCACTTATTAAAAATATGGCCTGTTTTTAATGCAATAAACCCTTTAAATTTAGCTTTTAAGCTCATTTGTATTATAATTACTGTTAATATTATTAATTATAATAATTGTACATGCAGCTGCCACACATAAATCTAATTCAATTGCAATTACATTATTTTATGATTTTATTTATTATTATTTATTGCAAAACTGTGCAGCCCTTTTCTATGTCTCTATCCAGAATAGAATGATGATTGGATGAGGGATAGATGTATGGATATCTACAGTATCTGTACAGATGCACAAACAATATCTAACTATACAAATAAATAGTACTAAATTATGTGTGTTACACACAAGTGTTAAAACTAACCCCTCTGTTACAATTAACCCCACATATGCGGTAAGTTGTAACATTTGCACTTCAGTGCAACAGTACAAAAATGGTAGGTCCTAGAATAAAACTTTAAGTGTTCTTTTGTAGCAGAGATGTGTATGTTGCTTGTGTAAAAAAAAGTTGAATCTAACTTAACAATTTTTTAATTGAGCCAAAACCAACATGTGTTAGGTTGTGCCCCGCTCTCCCCTATATATACTGTATATTTTATACAATATTATTGTAGACTTTTCATCATTTTATATAACCTAGATTGGTCTAATTTGATAAAGAAAAGTCTGATTACCCCCTAACTAACTGCTAGTTGGTCAAATTGGTTCTTAAAGGGATAGTTCACCCAAAAATGTAAATTCTGTCAGTAATTACTCACCCTCATGTTGTTCCAAACCCGTAAGACTTTTGTTCATCTTCGGAACACAAATGAAGATCTTCTTGATGAAATCTGAGAGCTTTATCTCCCTCCATTGGCAGCAGCGCAAGTTACGCAACTTTGACGCTTCAAAAAGTCCATAAAGAGATTGTAAAACGAATCCATAAAGTGTCTTAAATTTAATTTAGGCTTCTATTCACATAAAACTTTCATCAACTCACACATCAGTTGTGGTTAACAGAAGCTCAAGCATGTTCAAACAAGGTTCATTTTCTGTTACGCAGCACATTGAACTTCTGTTTTTGTTTGCTGATCAGTGTTTAATAGGTGAATAAAAGCATAAATTAAATCTGTTCATCATATAAATAGATCTCTTTATGAACTTTTTGAAGCGTCAAAGTGTCAATTGCATTGCTGTCTATGGAGGGACAGAAAGATCATGTCAATGAAAAGATCATGTTCCGAATGTTTTACATTTAAGGGTTTAGAACAACATGATGGTGAGTAATTAATGACAGATTTTTTTGGGGTGAACTAATTATGTTTATGCAAATTTCCCCTGGTATAGTAATCCCTAAAAAATACACCCTTCATCCTTGATTGTGGTTGTGTAAAAATTATTATAACTTGAGACACCATTGTCTCTTATTTAAACTGGTCTGGTTTAGTATGTTTAGCTTTGGGGGAATTCAGAGATATATTTACCCAAACGTACTCATTCTAGTCAAGTACCGTCTGTCCACTTACCTAAACACCACTCACCGCAATGTTTACATGAAGGTCTCTTGGAAAAGGATGTCTCTTGGTCTCTAGAACCATTAATGATGTTTCTTTCTTCCATGGGTTCTTGAACATGATTTCTATAGGATCAGAATATGTTTTCAACATCAATTGCGAGAGAAAACCTCAAGGGTGTCCTTATAGTCACAGTATGACTCATTCGAGGGGCTGGACACTCCACAGATTGTCATCATTCATATGATGAAGGAAGTCTGGAGCTATTGTATTTGTCTATATGTGTGCTTTAGGCGGCTTGTGAACGTCTCTCTTAACCAAAGAGTCTGTTTGTTTGCCGGTCCACTAAAGGCTTTTGTGTATGATTATTAATATTCATACAGCTCCCCCCCCCCCCCCCCCACCACTACCACATGTGCCAGTCGATTCATGTGTTTTCATAGTGCATGAGGCCTCTCTTTTCAAATGTAAAGTAGGTTTTCATGTGTAATGATCTTATGAGATCCCTTGTCAGTTTGAAAGTAAAGAAGTAGAAGCCTAATGGACATCGGCCACATGCATCCGTAGTGAGTGACACGCATAGTAACGAGACCTGAAAATGGAAGGACATCTGATCATTTGCATTTGATATCAGCATAAATAATTTTAGCTCTTGTGAACTGATGACTCGGTAGCCCTTATCAAAGTTTTAGCGGTATGTGAATTATTTCTGATGCGGAATCATCATCTGAGTGGGGACCGTGTGGATGAAAGTTTAATGGGAAAGAACTTGATCTGACTGGCAGTAGATATGACTGCATGGAATAGAGTGTCAATTTCAAGTGTATTTCCGCCTTGTTTTAGGGTTACTTAGTGATCTGAGCTTAAAGCGAAAGATCACCCGCAAATGTA